CCAAACAGTATTACTTGAACAGGTATAATTTTTTTTTTTTACCCCATCAAAAGCTTTCCTCACTCAGCCCACACCCAGAACCCCGTAAGGCACACTATTTAAATAAGTTACACAGAGCTGTAACTTATGTAACTGTAAAAACTGCTTTTCTACTCTTAAAAAAACTGTTCAAATTCCAGTTACATTCATTTCCAGCAGGGAATTTCACCTTTTTCTTCAAATCAAAAAGGAAAGAGTTTAAAAGAAAAAAATCATTTACAAAAGGAAAACAAATATAAAATCTTAAAGACATCACTCAAAACTAGTAGTAGCCATGCTATAAACTTTTTTGTACCTTTACTGTCCATCTTTTAGATAAAATATACTACACATCTTACAAAGTTAATAGTCTGAAATGTTCTTCTAAAGAGTTTTGTCTACAGCAGTGGTTCTCAACATTTGGCAAAGTCTGGAGACATTTTAGTTGCTACAACTGGCAGGGAGCGAGGGTAAGGAGGTAGGGAGGAGGGTTAGCTGTGCTACCGGCAACTAGCGATAGAAGCCAGGGATACTACTAAAACATCCTACAAATGCAAAGAAGAGCCACTCTGACAGCAAAGAATTCATTATCCGCCTAAAATGTCAATAGTGCTAAAGATGAGAAACTATGGTCTACAGAAATCAACAGATTTACTTCTAAAGACTTGCCAACTAGTTCTATACATCAATCTAGATCAAATATATTAAATTCAAAATGACACTAAATACAAAATCCACTTAAACACATAAAAGAAAACTTACACTACAGTAGTTTTCATGAAACCAATTTGTAATGCCATAAATTTAAATATTCCCTATTGAAATCTTAGAAAATGTTAGCAAGGGGCGCCTGGGTGGCTCAGCCGTTAAGCGTCTGCCTTCAGCTCAGGTCATGATCCCAGGATCCTGGGATCGAGCCCTGCATCGGGCTCCCTGCTCCGCGGGAAGCCTGTTTCTCCCTCTCCCACTCCCCCTGCTTGTGTTCCCTCTCTCGCTATGTCTCTCTCTGTCAAATAAATAAAATCTTTAAAAAAAAAAAAAAGAAAATGTTAGCAAAGTACAATTACAATATGAAAAAACTACAAATAACATATAACAATCAATCAAACATGGGTATGTGCACTGACTTAAGGGCATTTTACTTCACTGAGCTTCAAATTTTAAAGTATTTTGCAGGGGTGTCTGTTAGGTGTCTGACTCAGTTTCGGCTCAAGTCATGACCTCAGGGTCTTGAGATGAAGCCTGATCCAGGGCTCTGAGCTCAGTGGGGAGTATGCTTGAGATTCTCTCTTTCACTCTCCTTTTGCCCCTCCCGCAGCTTGCACTCTCTCTCAAATAAATATTTTTTAAAAGTATTTTGAATATTAACATCAACTAAATCTTTAATTTACAGGTTAACACTTATTTTAATGTGTTTCTTTTTTAAGATTTTATTTATTTGTCAGAGGAAGAGAGAGAGAGACCACAAGCAGGGGGAGCAGCAGGCAGAGGGAGAAGCAGGCTTCCCACTGAGCAAGGAGCCCCATGTGGGACTCGATCCCAGGATCCTGGGATCATGACCTGAGCCAAAGGCAGACGCTTAACCGACTGAGCCACCCAGGCGTCCCTTATTTTAACGTTTAAACTATTAAATTAGGTTGTGTTTATTTATTTTTTTTAAATTAGGTTGTGTTTAAATCCTGCAACCAGTAATACAAACCAGTCTCAGTTATTTTTAAATAATTAAAGCATGCCTATCCTTGTAAAGTAATGACAGTGTGGTACAATATAAACACAAGCAGACCTAGATCCAAATCCCAAAGCTTTGCAGACAAATAATTTAACTTCTTTGAATCCCAATTCCCTCATCTAAGAAATAGGAAATCTGAATCAAAGAATTGTTCTTGAAAATTAGCAATAATGCATAAACAAATGGTACTGAGAGCCACTCTACAAATGGTGGTTAGTTGTTAACAGCAATAATAATAATACAACCTGTGAATACAGATTATAGTTTTATTATATCCTCACAATCAACATTTCACTTAGTAATTCGACTCATAAAATAACTATAAAATGTATTTTAATCAATTTTCCATTCCTGGCAATTTGAAATATTACTTAAAATTCACACACATATAAAATTAATGTCTGACACATAAAGGATGGATTTCCAAATAGTCTCAAGGGAAAAAGGTCTAGGTGCCTTTATTTATTATTTTAAGTAAATAATATATTTGCATGACTCAAAACTCAAAAGGGATCCTTTGATGCCTGTTACCCCAGACACGCATTCCCTTATATAGAAGTAATCAATTTTACCAATTTCTCATTGACACAAATACATATATTTTCCCCTTCTTCCAACACAAATGGTGGCCTCCTCCACACTATTCTGCACCTTGCTTTTCATAGTTGATTTATCTTGGAGATTATATTTTAATTAACACACTCCAAGAATGGCCACTTACAACTTCTTATGGTCAGAATTCAGCAAATGTCAGCTATCTTCGTAAGACAACTTAAAAGGCCAAAAAAAAAAAAAAATCCTCAAATCAACCGGTATTCTTAGTAAACAAGAGCATATGAAACAAACTTTGGTAAATGTGGAGAGTTACATAAATGAAATGATGAAATACTTGGTTACTTGACCAGACACTCAAAATACTACATTTCCACACTTAAAAAGGAAACACGTGGACTGTATTACAAGTCCTTCAATGAGCTGAAAGTAATCAACATTATCAACTCATAGAACTGGGCCTACTAAATTATCGATGAAATAAAATACTGGTGAAAATAAAGCTATTTATTGGTTATAATCCAAGATTAAATTATCTGACCTTTTTCTAAATGTACTCTGCAACTTACTTTCTGGAAGAAGTTTCCTTCCAGATTTATAAAGGTACTCTTCTTAAAAAAAAATAATTTGTTGCATTTCCTATTCTCTTCCTCTGAAATACATACTATAATGCTTACTTGAAGCAAGGCTTCAGTATCCCTTACATATAAAGAGCAGTACTGTTTTAACAATATGCATACTAGAGCAATACTAGATTTCTTTTAAGCTTTAATTGAAGTACTAAAAATATCATGATGAATGTCACCTCATATAAGCAAAGAGACCATATGAATTACGAGAGCAGTAACTTACCATTTTTAAGTAATAGAAAATAAAGTATTTGAAAGAAGTCTTATATTCTCAGGCTTGTACAACTTTATTACAGAAGAAATGTTTTAGGCTGTTGGCAACTGTATTAACTGAATCTTTCATTAGGAATATATGTGTCAACTATCCTGGAATATATTTTCTTGCAAATAAAAAGTTAGAATTATTGTTTCACTGTATATCAGTACAGACATTTATGACCCTATTTCTGCACTGTACTGCAAAAATACAAAGTCATCCTTCCATTCAGAGTTTTGGCACTTGAACAAATACAGAGGTCAGAGTTCATACACATGCTCTGTAAAACATCATTTCTCACAGACTACTACATTCAATCAATCTGCTAGTATTGGTTATTTTTAAGTTAATTTTAAAGAATTATATTCAACATGTCTAATTGGAAAAACGATCACTGTAGGATCAGTGACACAAATAAAGCTCAAGTACTATCATTTATGTCTATTACTCATCACATACTTAGAATGATGAATTTCACAAATCATTTAGATTATCAAAGTTCCAACATAAGAGAAAGATACAAATAATAATGATACATTTAACAATGGTATGTGACATCTTGACAATAATAAGTATTTCAGCATTACTTTTTCATCTCTTTGTTAAATCCAAGGAGGAAAAACAACTTGGCATTCTTGTTGATTTGAGTATGAAAAATTGTACCAACACTTGCATAGTTTTGAGTCAAATCGCTAGAGAATTTTAAATACATTACACAAATAAATATGGCCAACATGAGAGTAAATTCTGCAAGACTCAAGAGCAGCTTGAGACCAAAACAATGTTTTTAATAATTTCAGATAAGATACATCGAGACAAACCTACTCAATAAGGAGGTATAATAATGTACTGATGTGGTGAAATCCCACGTTTTTAATAGGGCTGTTTTTCAAAAGTAAGAATCAAGTTAACTATGAGGGACATCATAATGAAGTTTCATGGCACAACACAACAGTCACAGAGGCATTGTCTTAGAGACTCTGATCTGTAACTTGTAAACAATATTTTGAAATAAGCTACTCATACCCTTCATTATTTTTTCCTAACGAAAAACATTTAAATGCCTTTAATACACCAAACAACTTGCCTTCACCCAATCAAAACGCTTTAGATGTCAACAGAAAAGAGGCCTAGAAATTGGGGGCCGGGGGTCGGTGAAAATGAGATAATGATCTAATTCGGAATTAATTTCCTACCTCACGTGAAAATTCCCTTATCTCCCACTCAAATAAAATAGTATCCCATTATGTCTTTTCCCTCCCAACACCGAACTAAGGAGGGAGTAACTCTGAACGTCCTTCTTTCATCAATACCTAAGGCCTTTTACCGCTCCTTCCCAAAGGAAAGGACAGTGGAGGCCAAACAGGCTATAATGTAGAATACCCTTAAAAGTGTGGGCCTTTGAGCAGCGCGGCTCTCCGGATCCAGTTACCACCTTTCCCCTTCCCCCAACCCACTTCCCGGGGTTTCTCAGGCTCGGCCTGCTCCCTCCACACCCTACAGCCACACTTCCAGCTGTTGCCACTGCCTCGGGGCTCTCTCTAGAGCTCACACCCCTCCAAGAAGTGCCCCCTTCTTCATCTGCCCCCCAAACCGTGTTCCTCTCCAGACCACCCGCCCGCGAGGCGGTCCATCCCAGGGCCCAGGGAGGGGAGGAGAAGGCGACGGAAGCAGAGGGAGACTGCTGCTTCCTCACAGGCAGAAGGGCGACCGCAAGGAGGGCCACCCAGGGGTTACCGGGGATACTGGGGTCTCCGCTGGAAAAACCCTCCCGCCCTGGGACGGGGTGGGGGATGTCCGGGAGTTCATTTCTGACCTCCTCGCTCTTCAGCACCTCCTTGAACTCCCGCTTGATTCGCTGCACCGCGATGTTGGCCATGTCTCCGCCCGCAGCTGATTCGTACCCGCCTCCTCCGCCACCGCTACGACCACCGCCACCGTCGCCACCTCTTCCACCACCGCCTCCTCCCTCGGCGATTCACACCGGAGCACACAAACGCTGCCACTGCCACCCCGGCCGCCGCGCTCTCCTCAGTGTGGAATCACCTCCGCGCCCGGCCACCAAAATGGCGCCGGGTCCGCGCATGCGCAAGACGCTGACCCGGCCGGGCGGCGCAGCCGCTCCCGTTGTAGCCCCATACGCCTCAAACGCGAACCCGCGCCGAGCCGCGCCGCGCGTCTCTGCCGGAGCTGCGGCCGCGCGGCTCCGCCCTGCCGGCGTCTGAGGCCAGGAGGGTGCGGCTTCCGCGCCGGCCCGCCCTGCCAGGGCCTCCCGGGTCTTCTCTTGTGCCGCCGTCACTCTTCAAATCACTGCGGTGTGGTCGGGGCTTCCAGCCCATGGCCTCTGACTGAAGACTGAGACCAACCTAACGGGTTCACGCGGCCCCACTCGGCTACCAGCGCCTACAAGCGCCGTCCTGACTCAGCCAGACCCAGAACCCACAGGCTTAATGTGCCTGACTGTGTCTAGTGTATAAAAGCACCATTCCAGAACTCGATCCGGCCCATTTTCTGTTGGTGTAGCCCAGAAAAATCCAGTGCGGTCCGTTTTTGTTCTGAAGCCATTAGAGTGCCACTACTAAACCGATCGTTCCAGGTACCACACGTCACTGAATTAAGAGTGGTCGTTGTTGGGTCCCATCAGGTGTATTTCAAACAGGTACTCCATGTAGATGCCTGAGGTGGATTTAGAAGCCAGATGTTGATCTCTGAACTACTTAGATAATTAATACTGAGTTTTAATAGTTTTTAACCTCGAGTGTACATCAGAATCCCTGAAGAGCTTGTTAAAAAAACCAGGTTGCTAGACCCCCATCCCTAGAGTGTGGGGTGGGCCCAATAATTTGCACCTCTAACAAGTTCTCTCGCTGCTACACTATGAGAACCACTAAACTAAAACATGTGAAAATAGTTTGTATATTAAAGTGAAAAATGGAGAAATAGAGGCTTCTTGTGGAGGAACGGTAGCTTTACTTCTGTAAGCCTAGGACCTACAACGGTGTCTGGCACTAGTAGGCACTCAATAAATATTGAATGAACAAATGAAGATAAGAGTAAAATGTTTTAAGTGGGAAGTAAGTTCGAAAGGCAATATGAAAGTCGTTGCTAGGGTTTCAGTAAATAATATGGTTTTGGTGCCGAGCGGTGCTTTAAATAGAATAAGTAATAAAGGTTATTTAGTTTTTATTTCATGAGCTTCTTTCACCTAATCAATTAGTAAAGTGTCCTCCTAGAAAAATATCACAAATACACGGTCTTAGCAAAAATTACTAAAATTATGGCACCAAAAAGGAACTATCCCCCGGCAGTGAATCATTCAAGTGGAAGTACATGGAAAAAAAGTTCTTGAACTTCTGCCACAGGAACCAAGAAGAGATTTTTGATCCCAGCTCTCCTCCATGCTAGCTATCTTGGCCAACCTTGGTTTCCTCATCAGCAAAATAAAGAAGCTGGATTAGATGATGATCTCTTTCAAGTTTTAAGAGCTCAGAATTCTAAAGCATCTTTTGGAAACATCTTCCAAAGTGGACTAACATAAATTATAAAAACCCTTCCAGCAGAGCCCCCTAGTGGTCCTAAGAGGAACCAACTATACCTCTGGGTCAAGTACGATGAATTACTGGTATAATGTAAATCATGCAATGCTATGTGTATTTGTGTCAGTACATTAAAAATAATTATTTTGGGGCGCCTGGGTGGCTCAGTCGTTAAGTATCTGCCTTTGGCTCAGGTCATGATCCCAGGGTTCTGGGATCGAGCTCTGCATCAGGCTCCTGCTCAGTGGGAAGCCTGCTTCTCCCTCTCTCACTCCCCCTGCTTGTGTTCCCTCTCTCGCTGTGTCTCTCTCTGTCAAAAAAATAAATAAAAAATCTTAAAAAAAATAAATAAAAATAAATAACATCTTAAAAAAATAGTTATTTTGAAATCTGCAAAAACTGTTTTGAGTAATTTACATTTGTCAACTTCATTCAGTCCCCAATCTTAATCTTGGAACTTCAAAGAAACTTGCAACACTCAAAGCACAGGGGGACTGCTTAGAAGAGTATGGTAATTTCTTTGGCGGAGAGGGGTTTGGTCTTTTTTTTTTTTCTTGAGAGAGAGAGAGAAAGCAGGGGAAGGGCAAAGGGAGAAGAAGAGAGAGAATCTTAAGCAGGCTCCCCACTTAGCATGGAGCCCCACACAGAGGCTCCATCTCAAGACCCTGAGATCATGACCCGAGCCAAAATCAAGAGTCGGACACTTAACCGACTGAGCCACCCAGGCGCCCCTGGTCATTTTTAAACACATATAATCGTTGGCCTTGAAATTCTACTTCTAGGAAGTCATTCTACAGTCCTACCAGAGAATGAGGCAACTACATATTAACTGATAATGAGACAATTCCCAAAGTACATTTTAAGGCAAAAAAAGCAGTATGCTAAACGCAATGTGTTATCTTGGATTAGATCCTAGAACTGAAAGGACGTAACTAGTGAAATCTAAGTAAATTCTGTAATTTAGTTAATAGTATTGTACCAATATTAACTTCTTAGTTTTGACATGATACTATGGTTATGTAAGATGTTAACATTAGTAGAAGTGGGTAAAGAGTATACAAGAATCTCTGAAACTTTTCTGTAAATCTACAATTACTCCAAAATAAAAAGTTTACTTTTGAAAAAGCACTATGCAGTCCATATTGTATGTAGTATACCACCATATGTGTGAGGGAAGAAAGGAATATGCTGGTGTATATACTTGTGAATCCTCAAAATATCACTGGAAAAAGGCATAAGAAACTGACAGTAGGGGATATCTCTGAGAAAACAACTTAAATGCCTTGGAGAAGGCAAAATGGGAGAATTTTCACCATGTACCCTCTTGTATATTTTACCTATTCAAAACTAAATTTTTAAAAAATGAGTTTCCAGTAATGCAGATTATAAGCTCCTCACTATTATGATCTAGTTCTGGTTGATTACTTCATTAAAAATTAATTAATTAAACAAATAATTATTGAGTGCCTACTGTATGCCAGGCACAATGTAGGCCCTAGAGGTATATCAGTGAACAAGAAACAGAAAACCTCTGGAATTGCAGGATCTACATTCTGTCAGGGATAGGGAGAATTCATCTCAAAGTTCAGTCCACAGAAATGTGGGGGGTCCCTGATAATGTTTTCAGGGATCAGTCTGCAATGACCAAACTATTATCATAATACAACTAAGACATTATTTGCCTTTTACTATGTTGACATTTGCACTGATGACATAAAAGCAATAGCGAACAAAACAATTACTATGCTATTAATAATTTTATTAATACCATGCACTCACTTTTGAAAATACCAGTTTTGGGGTGCCTGGGTGGCTCAGTCACTTAAGCGTCTTACTCTTGGTTTCGGCTCAGGTCATGATCTCATGGGTGGTGAGATCAAACCCTACATCAGTCTCTGTTCAAGATTCTCTCCCTCTGCCCCTCCCCCCCAAAATAAATAAATAAATCTTAAAAAAAGAAAAAGACAAAAAATACCAGTTTCAGAGGCATCTGGCTGGCTCAGTTGGTGGAGCATGTGACTTGATTTTGGGGTCCTGAGTTTGAGCCCTGCATTGGGTATAGAGCTTATTAAAAAAAAAAAAATACCAGTTTTACTTTTTTTTACTAAGAATTGCACTTTTATTTATTTATTTAACATTTTTATTAAATGTTAATGGGCCCGGGGATCATGACCTGAGCCAAAGGCAGATGCTTAACTGACTGAGCACCCAGGAGCCCCTCATTTTTTTTAAAAAAAGATTCTATTTTTAAGTAATCTCTACACCCAAGGTGGGGCTCGAACTTACAACCCTGACATCAAGAGTCACATGCTCGGGGAGCCTGGGTGGCTCAGTTGTTAAGCGTCTGCCTTTGGCTCAGGTCTTAATCCCAGGGTCCTGGGATTGAGGCCCCCTTTGGGTTTCTGTTCAGCGGGAAGCCTGCTTCTCCCTCTCTCACTCCCCCTGCTTGTGTTCCCTCTCTTGCTGTGTCTCTTTCTGTCAAATAAATAAATAAAATCTTTAAAAAAAAAAGTCACATGCTCTACCAACTAAGCCAGCAAGGTGCCCCCTCCCCCCCCTTTTTTTTTTTTACCAGTTTCACTTTAGAATGTCTTTGATGAAGCAGTAGAAATTGATTTTATTAAACTTCAACTTTTGAATACATGCCTTTTTAATATTCTTTGTCATTCATGGGAAGGATAGAGAAAGCACTTCTACTGCATACCAAAGCACATGGTTAAGCATTTGCGCAATTGGTTGAGTTGTGAGCTAAATTAGCCATTATTTCCATGGAACTATTTTTACTTAAAATAATGATTGCGACAAACTATGTTTATCAAGGGTTGGGTATTTGGCAGACATTTTATCACAAATGAACTAGGTGAGCCTGTCACATCAAGGATACAATTGGCAGAATTTGTTGCCAATGATAAAATTCAAACTTCCAACTGAAAATTAGAGTTTTAGAAGATATATCTGCCCCTGTGACTTGACAGCTTCTCAATACACTTAAAGATGTTTTGATTAAATTGATGGTGAGATTAATAAATGCGATTGCTTGAAATCATATAATGAAATGTGTTAATATTTGGAAGATCTGCATAAGCCAGTGAACTAATATTTTCTAAATGACCAATGCATGATGTTACAAAATCATGCATGGGTATAACCTCCATTAAAGGTGTGAGACAGACCAGTGGATTTTAATGTAACAGAGTACAAAAAAATTCACTGGTAACATTTCAGATTCCACATTGCAACTAACCTTTGAGGAATGATTCCTTGTCTGGATTTAGTGTAGTACTGAAGAATAATATCCACAATTATCTGAAAAAGTTATTAAAATATTTCTTCACTTTCCAACTACATATTTGTATAAGATTGAATTTTCTTCATCTACTTCAACCAAAACAATATATGCACATACTGACTGCAAAAGCGTATGTGAAAATCCAGCTGTGTTCTGTGTAGCCAGGCATTAAAAAGAGATTTGATCTTGGAAAACACAATTATTTTCACTCAAGATATATTATACAAGATATAAGAATGTAATAGGTTTATTATAGTGTTTTTGGTTTATTATAGTAACTATATTGTTTTTTGTTTTTTTTAAAGATTTTATTTATTT